TTTCCCAAGATGATATCTTTTTTGATGGCTTTAGTGAAGAAAATGATGCATTTGAAGCAATATAGTATGCATAATTTAAATGCCAAGGATACATTCTGGGTTTTTATTTGCTTTAAGTTTATCCAATTTTCATGGAAGGCTCTCTACATCAAGGATTGGCTGTGTCAGTTTTTGTTTGGGAGAGTATTAACTTGCAATCTAGGTGCAGTTAGATGCTTCCAGGGTAGAGCAGAAGCCTCTGCTGCTCTTAGGTTTCTCTTCTGGTGCCAGAATCACCTCCCTGCAAGACTGCATGTGGAACACTCCTGATCTGAGTTTGTTTCTCCCAGGACTCTGGCTCCTTAGGGATTTGCCTGACTAGCTTGAGGGAAGTATTCCAGCCTGCTTTCTTTCGGATAGTATTTCTTCTTCATTTTATCTAAATAGAGGATTATATTAGCTAAACATTATTAAACTTGAGATATGAGTAGGTACATTTCTGGTATCTGTTTTTGTTACAGGTTCTTATGGTCCCTGGGTGTTTCTACATGTAACGTTGTGTTTTAATGTAACCATCTTTAAATAGCTACAACTCTTAAGAAAAAGTTTTGAAGGACCCTAAGCAAGTTGTTTGAAAGAAACAGGCATTTAAGTGCTTAATTCAATTAGCAACTCATAAAGTCTATACTGATGAGGATGCAGATAGCCTTTATAAGCATTAATTTCATGAAATGAACATTTTGTAAAAGTGAATGTGGAGTTTGTAGTTCTTTAGGCAAATCTTCACTGTCGGTTGAATTTATTTAAAGAGCTTTTCTGGTCACCTTTGAACCTCAATGATTTCTCCAGATGTACAGAAGTGAACAATGTAAAAATCTTGCTGTTTCAGCAGAACTGATTCCAGCTGGCTGGGAACTGGATCTGCAAGTCATTGGTTACAGCTGTGTTTCGATTTATATGTGATGGTTGAAAAAATAAATTACCCGATTAGATGGCTAGAAAGAGGACTCTTTGTTTAGCCCTTGTGTGGGGACTGAAAGTGTTTATGGTGCTGTTTTCTACGCAATCTTTGCAAAGTAAGCTGGACAAATAGATTTATTCAATGTTCTTAAGAAATGTTGCATATTCAGCTTTAATTCTTTGCTAAAGAAACTATTTTTTAAAATAATGCTGTCATCTAGCAAATGTTTTAAAGGTCTAGCATTTAAGAGAAGCAGTAAGTTTTCTGTCCTACTGAGCACTGCGTTTAGTAATTGAAAAGCTGTTTTCTTTTGTTTAATGCGTACTTTAAAACATGTCTTTGTCAGGCATAGGAATGGAAGTATGTTTCTCTTAAATTCAAAACCTTATAATAGTAAAGTATCCAGGGGTTAAAAAAAAAAAAGACTCTATTTTAACCCTTTTCCTTAATGAGTTATGGCCCGTGGTGAGTTATGGCTTGTGGCACGTAAGAGAAAATAAATTAATTATATTGCTAAATAAAGAAATATAATTAAGCGTTACTGAAAAAAAAAATGACAAGCCTGTGGGCCACTTAGGCTATGAGGGTTTTGAATGTGTGGAATACTTTCTTTGTTATCTAAATTTACAGATAGAGTTGGAAGAGCATGTAACCTTTCAGGTTAGTGAAAGTCAAAACGCTAGTAACTCTTGCAGGTTTAGAGTACAGTGTACAAAATACCCTCCCAAGAGGATTCATATATTACTGTAACATGGTATGAAGGTTTTTCGTTTTTGTCTTTGTTTTAAATTATTTCCCAAGGTAGCTTAAATTGAGTCCTTCAGTTTCTTTTAAGTTATAAAGCTGTCAGGCCCAGTGGATTGTTAGCAGCTCAACCAATTCTATTGAGGTATTAAAAAAAGTAATGGGTAGGTAGCTCTGGAAAAGAAGGTTACAATGATGTGTTTTCATTTTTATTTTCTCAAATAGATACTAATTTTTCTAAACAAATTCAACATTTTTCTGAAAGTTTCTTTTCTAATGCTTTGTAAAATTTTGAAAAGGGACAGAATTCTCAACTGATCTTGAAAATGAGGCCAAGCACTTAATCGGGTATTACAGTGCCCAGCAAGTTCGATAGCAATTAAGTGTGGAGAATATCCACAAATGTATCACTTTTTTCCCCGTGAAAAATGACAATTCTTTATCCATCTCCTTTTTTAAGCTGAGATATGTATTATGGAATTTTTGTGATGCAGAATGAATAACCATAATGTATCCAAAAGGAAACAAAGGTGGAATTGATCTGCCTTGAATTGGTAGACAGTTTTGCTGTGTCAGGTTATTTCCTTGATCAGTGAAAGTAAACCCTCTAACCTTAACAAATCAATACAATAGATTGGAAAGGATGGGAACAAAGGATGAAAACGCAGGATACACTTGAACCTTCACTGTTCAGATATATTTAAATGATGTTGATAACGCTTAGAAGCATTTTCCTCTACCCCTATGTAATGGAAGCTTCTTCAACCTATATTGAAAACCTATGTAATAAAGTTTGAATATGCTATAGTGGCATTCTTCATGAAATAATATGTTTTGAAAAGTTAACCTTATCTCATGGAACTTATACTTCTAAAAATGTATTCATCAGGATAGTTTCTATCACTGAACATAGAGATAACAAAGTGAAAACTCGATCTTGAAAAGGACATGTATGATTGTGTGATATTGCATTTCAAAAATATGCATTATTTTAATAGAAAAATCAGGAAAGGAAATGACAGTATCTATAAAGAGAATACTTCTTAATTTAAAATAATTTACTCTCTCATTTATGCTCCATTCCTACCTACTATGATAATGGATAAAGAATTTTCTTTATAATAAAAAAACTTCAAATTAGCATTTTAGTGAAGAGAATTCTAAAAATTTGATTATGAGCAATCACAATAACTTTATTAATAACTATTTCATTAAATAAAGCAGCATTCAAAATGAGCAGTTTTAAAAACCAACAAAGATTTCTTAAAACTTTTTAATAGTTGATAGAGATTTTTAACCCATAAATCATCTGATTTTCCGATATATTTTTTATTTAGAATTTCTAAAATTCATTTAAGGAGGTTTTATAAATGCATCATTAAAGCTAACGTATGTCTGTTCAATCAATTAATCCTAAAATGTTTTTGATTCATAGAGACTAATTTTTACAAATAAGTTATCCAACGAAACTACGGCTCCTTAGTGTGTATACTACAAAGTGTAAACACATTGTTATAAATCATAGAAAACTACTACCTCCTTAGTTCTAAAATGAAAATATATATTGTTTCAAATAAATGAAAATTTAAATGTAAATAGGATAATCCATAGAAAGTTCTAATATAACATATTAATATCATTATGTAGCTGATATAAAATGTATTTTTGAGATTCAGTTATTGGATGAGATATCACAGGGAATAGAAAGAGGATATATTATTAGTCTTTCTGGAAATCAATGATATTGGACAGCACTGCGAGGATTATATAATACAATTACGGATTAAGGTTAGAGGATTATATTATATCTAAATAGTAGGTAGCAATAACCAACATGTGTTTATTTTACTTCCCTTCCATTGCACAAAATTTTTAGAGCTGAGTTAGGGCGTGGTGATTAACCTAGTCATTCCTCCTAATTTTAAAGATAAGAAAACTAAATTTCTGGTAGTCAAATGACTTATCCAAGACCATAGACTTTATTGTTTACTGAATTGGCACTAGAAACAGTTTCCTGACTCCTAAATCATTTCCCTTACTTCCCAACTTCGTTTCAAAATGTTATATAAGTAAGGAAAATAATACTCTTCCATAGTTATGTTAGCTAAAACATAAATTATTATTGCTCTTTTGCCATGATATTCAAGGTCAAAATATGACAGTAATTCTGAAGCCATTTGCTGTTATTTAACCTTTTCCTCTAAATCTTATCTTAAAAAGCCAAGATTCTTTTCTCTTTCATCTATTAGGAAGTACAACAAAGCAGAAACATCTCTTTTTACTAATATATTAGTACATATTACTAATATATGTATATATTCCTAATAACTACTAAAAATACTTTCTCAGATAAATGTAATATGATATGAAATAATTTTTAGTGGTTTTCAAATTGCCCCTCATTATCATAACCAGCCTTTTGCCTGAAAGAGAAACACTCCACCAGCATCCTATTTGTTCATGTGTATGGCTGTATAACAATGGCTGTTATTGTCACTTTCCCCTCAAGGCCTCCCTCAAGTTTATATTGTTGCTCTAATTACCCCATCTCAGACTTTCTGTCCTCAAACTTCATCTCTCTAGTATGGCTTTGAATGGGGTCCCCTCCTGGATATTGAGGACAGACTTGATTGGCAAGTGGATTTTGCACTTGGAGAAAGCAGAGAGGGAAGAGGAAGGAGAAAAGATAACTAGAGAGAGTTACAATCATGAATATCCATTTCCTAAATAGAAGAATGAACATTAGATTTTACATGCCAGGGTCTAAAAGATTATCTCCTAAAGGAAGAGAAATCTTTGTGATTATTTTTCCATGTTTCTTGGGATGCTCTGCACTTATACATCAAAGGAGAAAGAGAAAAAAATAAAACTAATTTCAGGTTGACAAATAAACCATTTGCATCACAGTCAAAAAGTGTCTGAGTTAAACATTCAATCATTCTCTAGTCCAAATTCTAAAATTCTAAGAGAAAATATGGATCAGGTATTGTTCCTGGTTAAAAGCCATCTGTTTCTTTTACCACAAAAAGTTTGAAGTAATAACTCATATACATTTATATTTTACTTCTTTTTCTTTTTGCTTAAGATAATTATTTCCAGAATCTGGTAACTCAAAATTATCTTAACGGAGTCTACACACACACACATGCACACACACACACATACACACACACACACCTGTTTTTTCTCAGGGTTTTATTTGATAGGAGATTCCCAGCAGATCCTCCTAGTTCATTGGTATCTGATTCTTGTCTCCCCTGCCCTTTAACTATTATTTATTTTCTCTTTTAAAAAAATAAAAGGAAAGAAAGAGTTCGAACCATAGTTGTTGCTGCTCTTAACTGCTTTTCCTTCCTTATATGAATAGGATTTTTAAAAATTGCTTTTTCTCTGGATTTTTTCTACTCATACTATTATATCCCTTCTTTATTGAAAACAGAAATATGTAATATGTATTGTTTGACACTAAAAAGACCATGACTCTCACTTCTGGAAAGGATAGACACATAAACATCTCTCATTTATTCAGAGACTTTAGCTTGAGTAATTTTTTTGTGCCTTCTGATTTTTTTTTAACTTCTTTAATTTTTGTCTAATACTTCCCCTTAAGTACTCTTGCATATTTCAAAACTATTAGTAAATAAAACCATTAGATCCTCTTCAGTCAAATGGAATTCTCTTATTTTAGACCTTCAAATAAATCAATATAGATTTATCCTCTTAAAATAGACTGGAATGAAAGTATTGGGACCCAATGGTCAGTTGTGCTACAGACTTTTCATGAGGACAGTTTTTGTCAGCACCGTCTAATAAAACTCTCTGCAAGGTTGGAAATGTTTTATGTCCGCATTGTCCAAAATGGTAACCACTAGCTATGTGTGCTAGCATACATTTGAAATATGGCTAGGGCAACAGAGGAACCGAATTTTTACTTTACTTTAATTTTAATTTTAATGGCTATGTGTGGCTTGTTGGACCTTATTGGAGAGTGTAGGTTACATAAAACAAAGAAAATATGAAAGTGATGAAAAGCAATATATTCTTCACATCCAGACTTTTGAGTTAAAGTTTGCACAATTGATCAGTTTTTGTCCTCCTTCTCCCTTACCCTAAACCAGTTTTTTAAATATGATTCCCATAATAAAACTGATTTTGGTGTCCTTTATGGAAAACAAAAGATCCTTGCCTTAGCAGTAAGGTAGAGGGCAGGTTTACTAAAGTATTTCAGAGTAGTTGTCTCTTCATTTAACTTAATATATTATTTTGATATACATTCAGATATATCTTAGTTAATTTTTAAGTTAACAGAACAAAACTCAACTAACATATAGAAATAATTGATCTAGCAAGACCATCCATGTGTTGCATTGCTTAAATATAAAACAAATTTTTACTTTGTAAATACTTTAACCATCATCAGAGTCTCACTTAGGGATGTTTTAGTATTGATAATTAGTAGTTTAGAATCAGAGGAGACCCTAAACCCATATCTATGACAGTAGTAATTGAACTGATTGATTACAACATCTTCTTTCAAATAAATATTGATTATAATCAAGTCTGTGTTCCTATTGGCCCCAACTATAGTCTTTACAGAAGCCTGGGCACTTGAAACTGGCCAACCCCTGTCTGGATATAAATATTTTAAATGCATGACCATTCAGTGTTATTTTTTTTTCTTCAAACCTTTATTCCTCTTGATTTTCTACTTCCTTGGCTAATATTTTTATGCCTTCCATAAAGTTAAGTGATGTGTGTGTTTTTCTGTATGTAATAAAAAGAGATAGCATGGATTAGGGGGGAAGAACTTGTGTTTGCATCTGCCATTTCTGATTTGCAGAGCTAGGAGTGAGCTGCTCACGTACACAGTCCACAGAGCTAAGATATCAGTAGGCAGTTTGCTGTAAGCATACGTTTAATTATTAAAATAGTCGACATTTTATGTCTGATAGCCATCGCGAGGTCATGACATTAATTTATCCAGAGAATTGTGGGCAACTGTCTGGAAAGAAAAAATAGTATAAAGGACACAGATGCTGGAGAGCTAAAAAAAAAAAAAGATGACTCTTTGAGCAAAGAGACTTTAAAAGTTGATCAGTAGATTTAGAAGTAGAACGAGAGGTAGAACAGGAAGTATTGAGCAGGCGTCTCACTTTTACTGACGATAAGTATTTAAAGCTATGCTATGCATGCATTAATTTCTGTTACAGTTTTTCATTAACTTCTAAACTTGAACAATATTCCTGAATCTGGTTTCTGCAGTCTAATTTCATGTTATTTGGTGTTTCAGTGCTCAGTGATTTTTTGCTCTTTATTCTGTTCCTTTCTTCCCCTTCATTCTCCTCCCTCTTCCCATTTCTACATTTCCTTTTCTTCCTCCCTTTCTTATTCTTTTCCATCCTAATGAGAGTGTGTACTTAATTCCATGTTTCCTTCCAGGGCCCACTTCTTTATCTGTGTATTTTGTTTTTGTGCTTGAGTTTTTCTTTCTTTTTTTTTTTTTCTTTTCCTTTTCTTTCAAATCAGGAGCCTATAGAAGCTGATTTTAGAGATACATGTCTGCCTGCAGATACTTCTCTTTATGGGTTGTGTGATGTTTTCTTTGGAACCTCTGCAAATGGTTGTCCTTCACGTTTGTTGCCACAGATATGTTGCCAAACTGCTACCTTAGTTGGTCCTGCAGTGCCGCAGTGCATGCTGGGATCTGTCTGTGTCAGTAAACTGAAATTTCAGCAGCACCAGACAGCATTAGAGTTGGCTTGAAAATTGCTGTACTTCTCTTCCCTTTGTATGTATTTCATGTATGCTGCAGAGTCACCGATAGCTAGCTCTAGAAAGTAATTCTGCAATATTGCTCACGTAGAAAGGAAAGGTAGGCAGTTTACCACATTCTATCATTAAAGGGAACAATTGAAGAACAAAGGAACCAGATAAATACCTATATACTGCCTTTTGTGTTGAGAAACACGGTAGCACAAACACGACCGTGTTCAGCTAAGTATTTTGCTTCCTCTTAGAACAATGCATATAGATTGTTTTTACGTATGTACACAAATCCATGTTTTCTATAAATGTATGATCAATCTTTAATATTTATAGCCTGCAAACATTTCTTAATCTCAAAAACTTTTACATATCACCAACACACAGCTATTTGTTATTATTTTTAAAGTTAAGTAAAAGAAAAATAAAAAATTTACTAATATCCTGTTGGTTGATTTCATTCCGGCAACTTAAGATTTCGCCACCGTTTAAATCATATTGATGATTCAGATGCTGGCAGATCTTATAATTCTTGTGAAATGAGAGCATGGCTAATAAAAATATTAAGCAATTATTTTTATTAAAATAGTAGTTTTTCATTATTAAATAGAAATGATTGATGTATACAGATCAGTCTCACTCATGTGTCTCTTGGTCTGTTTGGGGGCTTCCTATAGAACTGGAAAGATTTCTTTTGCCCTTTCCTCAGCTGGGGGAGTGGGGAAGAAGGCATGAAGTAAAGTCTAGGATTGTTAAAGAATTGCTGGCATTATTTCTCTATCACTTGTGAGTCTGGCTGCCTGCTTCCTGAGGTAGTGGATACAGGATGGGACTGTGTCGGAGCTTGTTTCCACAACTGCATTTGGAGATCTGTCTTATTGATTAAGGGGAAAAGGGGTGGGGATCAGAGTGTGAGGTGAGGGGAGGACCAGCTGACTACTGGCTCATTGAACCACAAGATATTTTCTCCCGGAAACATGTCAAACAACTGAGACATAGCCACAGAGAAAGTAGAAAAAAAGGTAGAAAAATAAGGCGACCCTGGAAGAAATGAAGGCACTTCTCATTAAAGCCCTGGGCTTTTTCTTTTCACTCCTTTTCTTTCCTTCAGTTTCTCTTCATTTTCTTTTCTTTTTCTTTCATCTTCTGACCTGCAAAGGCTAGAGTGACAGCGTCATGCAAATGCTGCAGTCCCGCAGGTCTGGGAGAGGGTGGATGCTAGACTGCGAGTTAATGTTAATGATGAGCGCAGTGAAAATACCAGCCGCCGCCACCCCCTGCACACAGAGCGCTCTGAGTCAGCATCAGATGCTTTGCCTCGCCTCTTGCTGGGTGTCTGTATGCCTGTGCGCGCGCGTGCTCGCTCGGGCATCCGTGTCTAGCTGAGGGGAGGGGGTGGCGTGTGAGTGCGTGGAGGGTAAAAGCCAGTCAGTCAGTGAGAAGCAAAGGTACGTTGGAGAGCAACTAAAATCTGACTGATTTCCATCTTTGGAGCATCAGATGTATTCCCTAAGGAGGATGGGTCTCCGTGATGGGGGTGGTATAATTATGTTAATGTCATATTTATGGAGGGGTGAGATTTTTCATTCTAATAATTGGTTGAATGCTGTGGTCAAAAATTGTAAAGCCATATTCAGTTTTAAGGAAAAGCATGGACTTATATCTCAGGACTGTTTTATTTTTTGCTTTTTGTAAGTGCTGCTTTTTTGTTTGATTTTTTAAAAACTATTTACTATTTTAAGCCATAACTGATTCAGTATGGAAAATCAAATGATAAACAGAAAGAGATCTTATATAATGATGCATTACATCATGGAACAGAATATTTAAAGTCTTGCAAGGCAAAGTAAAGATCTGGACAGAGGTTGGGGGTGGGGGTTGGGGTTGGAAAGGGGTGTGGTACTAGGGGGGAGGAGGGGGGCCAGTTAGCAAATATTTTGTTCAGCATAGCTTTCCTTGCAGCTTACTTGGAAATGGATGATTCACCTGTTCTACAGGAAAACATTCTAATTATTTC